CCAGGAGCGGAACCGGTGCCAGTGGAGCGGGGAGAGCTCAGCCAAGGTACCCCGGGACGGGCTTTGAGCTGGGTTTGGGTTTGGACCCTTCTCGATGCGGGTTCAGCTTTAAATTTGCGGGGGTCGGATGTGCCCGGGGAGCCCGGAACTCCCTGGCAGGGGTTGCAGAGGGAAGCGGGAGCTGCGGGAAGGGGCAGAGCCGGTGCCGGGACGGGGGTGACGCTCCGGCCCTGCCCCAGGTCCGGCTGTGTCGGTGTCACCGCTGGGGACCCGCAGGGACAGCTGTGGTTGATGGCAGGAACCCCCCGTCAGTGCTCTGTTCTTCGGGGTTCCCGTAAAGACAACAAGGATGCAAACTCTAAATTAACAGAGGCCTTTCAGCCTCACCAAAGTCACCTTGGGTTTAACAGAGCTGAGTGTTTCTATGGGCGATAGCGCTGCTTTTAAAGGAGCAGCCCTGGGAGCGTTGGGCTCACTGTGCCGACTGCTCGGGGCTGTCACTGCCGGGATCAGAACCTTCCCAGAGCTCCCGAGGCTCAGAGGTGCCGGGATGCACATCAGCTGCTCTGTGCCCCTCTCTGGGAATAGTGACCAGATGTTTCTCCCCACACGGCTGGATCGCTGCCCTCTGCAGGGGCTCTACAGCAGAGGAAACAGGAACTTTGCAGCCTTGTTTTAGCCACGTTTTTGACAAAACATAAGACCAGAATTAAATATAAATGAGAAGTGGAAGTGAGAGCTTACCCAGGAAAATGTTCTCCACGTTTTCACACTTTCTTTTTAAAAAAATAAAATAAAGTTGTGATTCTCAGGAAGCTCCTTTCTTTAGGACTAAAAGCCTTATCCTTTCCTCCAGGCAGTGCAGAAGCAGGTTCGTGCTATCAACAGCTCCATTGGCTGTGTTATGTTAAAAAAAGGCTGCAAGTCCTTGAGTTAGCTTTTTATAATAATTGACACAATTAAAACCCCACTGATTTATCTTGCAGGCTCTGCCCCTCTTTATAGCAGGGATTTAATATGATGCCCAATCACTGAATCTTCTCTACCAGTTTAAAACCTATCAGCTTCTAAAATAAAATGTAATTTTTGAAATGTTTTCTATGAAGAAATGTTGAGGAAAACTGTGTGGGCTTTGTACAATAATCAGTGCTGCTGAATGAGTGACTCAAAGTTAGCATGAATTGAGAGGAGGTTTCAGAAGGCCCCAATAAGTGGGCTTGGAGAGAAGTGTTTTCTCTGCCTGCAGCATTGAGAGGAGTGTTTGGAGGATGGTGAATTATCTGCCCAAGCAGTAGAAGACTAATAAAAAGATTGCTGCTTAATCTGTGTGTATTTATAGAGGACAAAGTTCTCTGTTTCCATCAGTGCCACCCGTGACGTGTCCGCAAACCCCAAGGAAACCTCGTGCTGATGTTGTTCGAAGCCCTTCAGGGCCGTAACTCTCCGAGGTTGTGTTTTATGGAAACATTACATGGTTGACTTAGTTCCTCATAAAATCACTTGTTCCATGCCCTGTGTTTTCCAGTTTCCCTTTCATCCATTAACAGGTAAAGATGAATATTTGGCAGTGTTTGATTCTACTGTAAACAAGTGTCCAACAAGAGAGAGTTGTTTTCATAACACAAGTGCCTGTTGAGAAATCCACGGCTGAGCAGTCGTGTATTCTGTGCCTCTCGAACGCTTCAATGCAGGGAAATGTCTTTGTACATTGTTAGCCTGTCAGGGAGAATATAAACAAGTCTTTATTTTTATAGTATTTTGCCATTAGCATGGTTAAAAACCCCTGTTGCTTGTTGCTGAGCCAAAAATAGAGCATAAAACTTAAAGTGGAAAAATAAACTATAAGGAAAGATTACCAGGCAGCTCTTACCGTCTGAGAGCTCTGCTCTGTCGAGCTGATCTTAAGCCTTCCATTGGCTTCTTTTTTTCTATTTTCCTTTTTTTCTCTGAAGGAAGTGGAGTGTTGTGTTGTCACGCTGCAGTTGTGGCCAGTGGTGTCTGTGTTTGGGGACTTTGTTGGCCCTGTCACCTTTATGTTACTCTGCTGTTCTGGGCTGATTGAATGCAGTGTTCTCCTCCTGAGCAGTTTTGGGTCTGATGGAGTCACACAGGTGCTGTGTCCATAACAAACAAACCACATTAGGCACAGACTTGATATAATTCCCTAAAAAGACATTTTCACTGCAGACGTGGCATCCTGCGAGCTCTGTGTGCAGTGGGGGGAGGAGGATGGGTTGTCCATGGCCTTTTGGATTTCAGTTTTGTGCCTGTGGAATTCCACTCCAGGTGTTTGCTCCCCTTTGGGCTGAACTTCAGAGCTGTTGGTGGCTTCAGTTTGTGCCTTGCTGAGGAGCAGGAGTGTCCTGGCTGGGTGTCCTGGGCTCAGCCTGGAGCTCTGCACGGGCTGGAGTTGGGCCAAAGGCTCACGAGGCTCTTTCTCTTCTGCCTCTTCATTTGTGTTGTAAAAGTTGATTTTTCTTTCAGATTCCTTTTTTCCTTCAATGAGTTCAAACTGCCCAATGAATTAATTCCCAGAGTAGAGAAGAGGTAAAAATAAACAAGCCTTTTTCCTAAGCTGGTAGTCAGGCTGCAGACAGCAAAAGGAATCTGCCATTGCCTCCTGAGTGGTGAATTCACACCCCTTCCAAAGTCTCCCTTGTGGGTCTTGTTTTCAGAGGTACAGGCAGAGTCAGGGCCTGGATCCTGTGCCAGTAAGTCCAACCTTCCTGTCTTGCCTGAGCCTGGCCTGTGTGTGGGTTGGTAGGGAAGGAGCTTGGAAAGGGCTTGGAAGGAGCCTGGAAGGAGCTGGGCTGGGGCTCAGAGCCCACAGGTTCCGTGGGGTTCAGCTGCCATTGACAGCTCAGGGGTCCTTCAGAATCCTGGCAGAGCTGTGGCCCAGCTTGGGGTTCCCCTGGGAGGCAGAGCCCACTCTGGGCTGTGTCTGAGCTGAGTCTCAACTTTTCCCCTGCATTAGAAAAATCAGCACCTGTTGTTTGATGAAGTTCTTGCAGTGACACTTGTCCCGGGCTCTGGGCTGGTTTTCCGTATCTAATCCATCTCTGATGTGACAGCACACACTTTTCCAGCAGTCCTTCCTTTCATTAACCTTCTTGCACCACTGATCACACATTTACTGTGCCCACGGCCTGGGGCTGGGAGGGTTTCACCAGAATTAATCTGCGTTTATGTTCGGTCACCATTCAGTGAGTTTTAGCTCCTTTGAAAGCTGCTGTAAAGCTGTTCCTGGTTGGGCAGTACAGTTTGTTAATGCTCCACTATTGATCCCAAGTGACAACTGGGGCCGGCACACGGGGCAGGACACTCCATTCCTTTGGGACAGCATTCCTTTACCTTCCGGCGTGTCAGCCCTAATTAAGATGCAACTGGAATTTTCCAGGGAAAAGGTTGTGCTGTTGACATGACTCCCCTTGAGCAGGGTCAGTTAAATTTCCTTTCATTGGTTTTCAGTAGCAATTTCAGGATCTTCTCCCCTCTCTTCTCCTTAGAGAGACAGCTGTGCAGATTGTTGAAACAGAGACTGGAATGGGGCAGAATTCCCTGTGGATTCATACCATTGAAAAGCAGAAGTGGAAAAAGCAACTTCTACCTTTTCCCTGGGTATAATAATACAAGATGCAGCTTCTTTCCAGAAAGAATTCTTCTTCCTCATAGCTCTCATTCCTGAGGAATGCAGGTGGGCTGTAGAGGTGAGGCTGTTTCACTGAGAACTGTATGAGCTGGATTATAATATATTTAATATTGTGCTATGTCCAACTTTGTGTGGAAAATAAGCGATGGTGTAGAAAGAAGATAGTAATATTTGATAGCAGCATTAATCTGAGATGAGCATTTATTGTGGAGTATATTTTGGGGGTTTAAATAGGAAAATCAGACTGGTGTGAAATAAAATGTGGCTGTGTCACAGAAGGGCAGGCTGGGTCTTCTGCTGGTGTTCAGCATGACCAGAATGGTTAAGGGAAATGGTGTGGTTTACAAAAAGTGCTTTTTAGTGGCTTTCAGCAAAAAAAACCAAAAAACAAAACCCACTTTTTTATTTTTAATTCCGACAGATCTGTTCCCTCAGGATGGAAGTTAAACGACCTTGTTGCAATGTTCAGTGAGGAGAGGTGAAGAGCTCTCACGTGTGGCTGTGAACCGGGTGGGAAGTGTGGGCTGTGCTGCCACAGCCCTGTGTGCCTGGAATTCACGGACTCACTCAGTGCTGGGTCATTTTCCAGCAGTGCTGATCCATCTCCCGGCCAGGAGATGTCCCCAGTTCACCACAATTCCTCCAGGAACTCCGGCACAGGTTCTGGGCTGTGTTTAACTGTGTTTCCATCTGGTGTTTGGGAGAGAAGGAGCAAGCCCTGAGCACTGGGACAGTGGGATGTGGCTGTCAGGGGCCCTGAAACACCCACCCAAGGCAGCAGAGATCACAGGGCACGGGGAGGGGGCCAAACTTAAGAGAAGAAGAAACACAGAAGATGAGGTGAAAGGAATGAAAAAAATCCTGGCCCTGGACACAGCGACTTAGTCCCACTGGTGCCAAGTAAACATTTACAAGAGTGGGAGTGGCCACAGAAGGCATCACAATGGTTGGATAGCCAAAGGAGATGTCACAGTGATTGGATAGCCACGGGATCTGTCACAATGGTTGGATAGCTACAGGAGGTGTCACAATAGTTGGATAGCCACAGGATCTGCCACAGTGCTTGGAATAGCCACAGGAGTTGTCAAAATGGTTGGAGTAGCCTCAGGGTCTCTTTGTGGTATTGGAGTAGCCACAGGGCTTGTTATGGGGGTTAGAGCAGCCACAGGGCTTTTCCTGGTGGATTAGAGTGGCCACAGGGCCTCTCCCTGGGGTCAGAGCAGCTGCAGGGCCTGTCCTGGTGCACTGCAGTAGCCACAGAGCTTGTTGCAGGTGTTGGAGTAGCTGCAGGTGAAGGCAGGGAGAGGAGCAGGGCCAGCAGGACCTGGGCTCTGGTGGCTGCTGATGGCTGGAGCGATGGACCCGGGAGACAACGAGAATGCCAACTATTACCGTGAACAGTACAGGGCCAACCTCCTGACCCTGCTCAGGTGAGGGGGCTCCTCCACCCTCTTCTCCCGCCTCCTCCATCCCTTCTTGCCCCACTGTGGCAAACTGCCATCCCTTATCTCCATCACTTCCATCCCCTCTTGTACCTGCCTTCCCCGACCCTGTTCCTCCTGTAACCCCCATTGCTCTGTGGGGGGATCCCCCCTGGGGAGGGCTGGGGATGCCACGCTGACAGATGGGCTCTGAGGTGGTGTCAGGCTGCTCTGCCCCATCACTACACAGTCCAACAGCCTGCAAGGACCTGGATCCAGTGTGAAACCTCGAGGAAATGCTCTCTCACAGGGAACTCGGAGAGCCAGACGAGGACCCCGCGTCCTCGTTTATGTGCCTCTTGAAGAAGAAGAAAGAATTACGGTGTCTGGAAGAGGCTGTGGAGGAGAAAAAAGAGGTGAGGAAGACGGGAGGGTGCTGGGATGTGGCTGGGAGGGCTTTGGGGATTTTTGGCGGGTGGCAGCAGGGGGCAGGTGGCTGGTGCTGGGCGTGGGCAGCCGTGTCACCCTCGCTCTGGTGCTGCCAGGCCTTCAGGGAGAGGCTGGAGGCCATTGCCGAGCAGTGGAGGGACCTGCACGCCAGGAGGACTCAGCTGAAGGCCCGTGTGGAGAGATCTGGGAGGACTGTGAAGGTACAGCTGCCCTGCTCAGCTGACACAACCCTGAGCCTCACCACCAACTCCTCCCCTCCCCTGGGAAAGAGAATCTTGGACCAGCATGCCTGGCTAAGCCTCCCTTGAGCCTGGAGCTGTGAGAACAGCACTGGCAGGACCCAGAGCTGGAAAGCCCTGTTAGGGCTTGGGTGGGGAGAGCTTTTCCTGCACCCATGTGATCTCCTGAGGGCCCCAAATGTCCCTCAAGGAGGGTCTCAGCCTTGTCCCCTCTGTTGAACTCCATCAGTCTTCCAGGGACAGGTACAGGGAGGTCTGGAAAAAAATCAGAGTGTCATCCCAGGGGCTGCCTCCAAGACCAGAGGGTCAGTGCCACAGGGCACTGTAAAACAGGGATGAAAATTGTTCCCAGGGATGCTCCAGTGCTGGTCTCTCCTCTCTGAAGGTATCTGTCTCCTTCCAGTGCTGTTGAGTAACCCAGCTCCATCTTCCCTTGCCTTCCCTTCCCTCTGTCTGTGTGTGCTGGTGGGGAAACATGACCAGGAAAATGAAATGCTGCGAAACCAAGCCCTGAGGAAAGCCAGCAAAGATAGAGAGGAGAATATAAAAAAGGAGAATGAGCTCCTGAGAGCTAAGAGGGAACTGGAAGCCCTCAGAAAACAGCATCAGAAACTCTGCCAAAAACTGCCAAAATACTCTGTGTTCAAGAGGTACCTGGAGGATGTGGTGGAGGTCTCACAGGTGAGGTTGGACCCGAGAGAGGCAGATCCTGGGCTGGGGGAGGGCCTTATTTGGGTGTTGAAATAGAAAAGATAAGACAAATTAGGGGAAATTATAACACTCGATCAAATCCAGAGACCTCAAGTGGGATAGGAAGGAGTTCTCTACAACCAAGGTGAGCCACAGGGAGCAGAGTCAGGGGAGGAGAACCAGAACAGGAGGTGAAGGCTTGAGGAAACCAAGAAAAAACATGAGAAGGGTTGAAAGCTCATGGCTGAGGAGAGTGGGGCCCCTTTGGTGTCACCATTTCAGGTCATATTCGTAGTTTGGGAGGGGTAAAGAGCTGCCTGGGAATGAGATCCAGGCAGCTGCAGCTGTGGCTGTGTTTATCAGAGCACTGCTCACCTGGGGAAGAGGTGTAATATCTCCCCTTGCCTGTGGCAGTGGCAGCTCCAGGCCTGGCACAGTGGGATGTCATCACACAGGGAACGTGGTGGTGCTCAGGAGCCAACAGGAGTCTTGAGGAGAAGGGAAGACCTGAGGGAGGTGTTGGTCCTGGTCAGGGCAGGGTGCCAAAGGACACGAGATCTGCAGGTGGTGGGGGAAGTTACTAACACCAGGAATCCTGTGCTGCAGTTTCGGGACATTGAGGATGTCATTTCGTTCTACAAGTCACTGGTGAGGTCACGCAAGGAGCTGCTGCAGTCACAGCACCGGGACAAGGAAATGACTGAGCAAGCCAGGGTGCTCCTGGACCAGTACAGGGCACAGAAAGGAGCTGAGATGCTTCAGTGCAAGAACGAACTGGTGCAGCTAAAACAATATTTAGACAAGGTTCAAAGCGACCTCCCTGTCTGGGTAAGGAACTGTGGGACAGGCAGGGCAAGATCTCCAAGGCCTGACTGAGCCAAGACTGGCTGATGGCTTCTCCTTCAGCCACGGGCTCGTGGCAAGGCCCAGCAGCCTTTGTGACTGGAGCAGATGCCTTATTTCTTCCCTCCATGGGGGTTGCAGAAGGAAGAATAAAAGCCCAGGTCTGGAGCAGGTTTGCCCTAAGGCAAAGCTGGAAAGCACCTGGTCTGGGAGGGGGGTCAGTGGCACGTGCTGCTGCAGGGGATCAGCTTCCCTGCCGTGGGGAGGGCTCTTCTGGATCTGCTTCCACCACACTGAGGTGAACCACACTGAACTGAGCTGACATGTCCCCCTGCTCCGTGTCTCCTCTCCTCCCAGGAGGCTCAGTGGATGGACATCCAGAACAGGGCTGCCAAGAAGAGCACGAAGCTGAGGGCCATCGAGAGGACCATCCACAGCCTCTTCCAGGCCGCCAGCACTCGGCTGAACGCTAAGTGGAAGGTGGCAGCACACGACAGCCACAGACAGCTGGAGATGGTAAAGCCAGGCCAGAGCCCTTCTCCCTGCCCAGAAAGAGGAGCAGGAGTGACTCTCAGCTGCCCAAAGAGAGGGGAGAGCCCACAGGCCCATCAGACACCTTCCTTTTCACCTGGGCGCTGTCGGGCACGGGGAGGGGGCTGGGGACTCCAGGCAAATCTGGCCTCTGAGGAGGGTCCTTGTGGGGCAGAGGCAGTGTGAGCCAGGCAGGCTGGGACAGGGGATACAGGTCAAGCCACGGCCAGGGTTTGGTTTCATTCAGCCACTTGTCCACAAAAGGCTTTTGTGTTGGTGAAGATCCAGCAAGGCAAATGCCTTGTCCTCCAGTTTAGTTGGGGACATTTGCCTCCAAAAGGAACAACAAGCTCCCCTCTGCCCCCTGTTCCCATCCCTGCACTGAGCTCTGCCTTCTCTCTTTCCCACCCTAGATCCAGCAGTTTATTGAAGACCTCAGGGACATCTCTATGGAGGACATGGAGAAGTATAAGTGAGAATCTATGCAGGGACCTGCCCTGCCAGCAGGGTGGAAAGGGAAAGGAGAGAAGAGAAGCCAAGAGATACTGCAGAATAAAAAAAAAAAAAAAACCACAAAATTTTAAGGTGTTTCTTCATTTCCTGGGAGGATTTGAGCTCCATCCTACAGATGCCACAGGGATGCCTTCTCTGGCAGATGGGCTTCTGGTTGCAGGAGACAGTGTCCCAGCAAAGCATGCAAGGTGGTGAGAGCAGACTGGGACAGCAGAGTCCCAGACAGGGATCAGTGCTCACATTTGGACATCCCTCGCAGCCTAATCTCAGCTATTTGAGAGGGATGTTACAACATGTTGGGGAGACTGTGCTTGGGGAGAGCTTCAGAGAGTTTCCACCACCACACCCAGCATGTCCCCTCCTCCCAGAGAACAGATCTGTGTGCCAGGGCTTGATCTGAGCCCCTTCACCCCACAGGTCTCAGCATCCTCAGATGCTGCCCTTCCCTGCTCTTCTGTGAGACCAAGCACACAGCAGTAGGAGAAACAAAACCAAGCAGGAGAGAATGAACTTTGCTGTGGCCCTCAGGGGTCCCAGGGATTGGTAAATGTCTTGCAGAGGCACCGGTGATGATACCAAGAGCAGCAGCTCTTGGAAAAGTCAACTTGTGACTCATCCAAGAGCAGGGAGGATGATGTGCATTTGTGCCCTTGCATCTTGCCTAAGCAGTGACATATCCAGAGGCACCTGGATCGTTTACAGCCCTCCTGAGAGGTGACTCATCTGTCCCCTCTCCTTCCACCCACAGCCACCCCTCACCCACTTTGTGGCCTCTCGCTGGTGGCAGCTGAGGGGAGAGAGAGCCAAAGGAGCAGCTCTGGCCCCTGAGGAAGGCGGGGGCTGCAGTGCCTGCCACTCCTGAGGGATGGTCTGAGGGCACTGCTGTCTCCAGGGGTTTAAGGAGAAGGCAGAGTGATGGGCCAGGTTTCCTGAAGTCCTTTGGGTATCGAAGTGCTGGCCACTTTGAAGTTGTTAGACCTCACCTCGAGTGCTGTGTCCAGTTCTGGGCCCCTCAGCTCAGGAAGGACATGGAGGGGCTGGAACAGGTCCAGAGAAGGGCAACGAGGCTGGGGAAGGGTCTGGAGCACAAGTGCTGGGAGGAGCAGCTGAGGGAGCTGGGGGGGCTCAGCCTGGAGAGGAGGAGGCTCAGGGGGGACCTTCTCACTCTCTGCAACTCCCTGACAGGAGGGGGAGCCGGGGGGGGTCGGGCTCTGCTCCCAGGAACCAGCAGGAGGACAAGAGGGCACAGCCTTGAGCTGCCCCAGGGCAGGTTTAGGTTGGACATTGGGAAGTTCTTCCCAGAGAGAGGGATCAGACACTGGAATGGGCTGCCCAGGGAGGGGGTGGAGTCCCCGTCCCTGGATGTGTTTAAGGACAGACTGGATGTGGCATCAGTGCCATGGTCTGGGTGACAAGGTGGGGTTGGATAAAGGGTTGGGCTGGATCATCTCAGAGGTCTTTTCCAACCTAGTTCATTCTGTGATTCTGTGATTCTGTGATTCTATCTCTTATCCAGATGCCTGACTGAGCTTGTCTGATGAACCCTCAGCACGGAACAACAGAATCACAGAATCAATTAGGTTGAAAAAGACCTCCAAGGCTGTGTGAGTCGACACAGCTGGACAGCCCAAACCACCATAAAACCACTGAAATGCAAAGACTAAATTTATTTAATTTCCTTGCTAACTGGAAGATCCTAAAGCAACACCTGGTTGGAGACACACAAGTGGGAACGCTGGCACCGCTGAGCGCAGATGATGGGTGGCAGGGCTGCTGTTGGCACCAATTTGTCAAGGATCTTTTCTCTGGGGAGCTGGACATGGGGGAAACCCTCTCTCAGCTAAGGCAAAGCAGCCAAGGCATCCCCAGACCAGAAGAAAGACAAGCTCTGCCCTCACCACTTGTGAGATGCCAGAAGATGCCGAGCTGGAGCTGTGCTGGTCCTGCTCCACAGAGGGGACTCTCAGGGTTGCCAGGCTTTCCTGGGCCATCCTTCTCCTGCCTGCTGGATCCATCCTGCTGGCTCAGGGCCCTCAGGCCCAGCACAGGAGGTGGCAGGACCCAGTGCCCAAGCACAGTGTGCTGGGCATCACTACAGTGCAGTTCCTTCCAGCTCTGTCCCTGTCCTGGGCAAAGCCAAACCAGTGTGACTCATGGTGCCGTGGGATGTGGAGGCAAAGACTAAAATTACCTGATCAGGTATCAGGGTTTCAGTTCTGAGGATGATAAATAAGCTGTTTGTGTTTAACAGCCTGCCATCTGCTTGGGGAATTGCAGGGGTTGGATTTGTTTGTGTGGTGGTTTCGGGGTTTGGGTGGGTTTTTTTCTTTCTCTTGGCACAGAGAGGAGATGAGTAAAGTATTGGCTAAATCTGCAGTGTTTTGCCTCTTTTTGATGGAAAATCCCCAACACACTGAGATGTTGTTATTGGTTTAGTCTGGACTCTGCCAACATTTGCTCTGGAATAGCTGGCTATTCCACCGGTGTGGGAATGGGTGAGCAGTGCCAGCACTCTGCTCTGCAGGGCAGCTCTGCCCTGGCACCAGTGATGGCATTTCCCAGAGCCACCAGATGCAGAGAGGCCCCTGTGCAGTCTGAGTGACAGGAACACGCTCTGGCACAGAGCATGACTGCACAGAAAGGCGCTGTCAGCTGCAGATGCCTTGGGATGCTCTCACCTGGAGAGCTGCTACCCCCCTCCCAGGCACTGTGCCAGGAGGACAGCCCAGTGCCAGCACGGACCTCACAGCTCCAGGGGTGACCTCGGGAGACACTGCTGGCCTGTTAACCCCAGGATTAGCACCTGCCAGGCTGAGCAACCCTGGGGGTCATTAAACCCAAATTAGAGCCCTGTTTGTGCCCATCCAGTTTTCAGCCACCTCATCCAAGAGAGGATGCCAAGAGCTTCCCTGTGCCCTTTCTCAGTTCCTGGCACAGAAGCAGGTCACACCCATGAGTGACTGGAAGCTTCTCAGGTCCTACACAGCTGATGAGACCCAGCACAGCCCAGACTCTGTCCAGCCTCTCTGCTCCTACTCAGCCCATCTCCCACCTCCCTGTGCTCTCCTGCATGTCCACCATGAGGTGCTTCTCACTTGTTCTTCAGTCACCCCTCCCAAGGCCAGGAAACACCAAAGACCACGAGACCCTGCAGCCTGCAGGCCCTGCCGGTCCAGCTCCTCCTCCTGCGGAGAACTGGGATGGTGGGATACAGGATGGGGAAAGCTGGGATTCAAGGGAGGGTGTGGTGCACCCAGACCTCCTGCCAAGTGCCAGGTGCCACACAGGGAAGGCATCTGGTGCCTGTAAACGGTGCCATTGTGGCTTGGTGAGGACAGAAGGCTGTTACCAGTGAACAAATGTATCCTGAAGGATACTGATAACTCCTCAGGACCCTGAGCAGTAAGGGATATTAACCCAGGGAGGCAGTTTCTTGCCTTTCCGAAGGTTTTTGCAGCCTGAAAAACAGTGAAATGTTAAGGGCCAGAAATGGAAGGGTTGGGTTCAGGAGCTGCTCTGTTCTCCTGCAATGCCAGGGAAGTCCAAAGTCCAGCCTGACTTTTTAGGATGTGGTTTCTGTTTCACCCTGCTGTGACACAGCCTGAGCCATCTCCCTAAAAAAGGTCTCCCAGGTGGGGAAATACCTACAAACCAAGCTTCCAACAGACATTTATTGGTTTGGGTTGAAATCAATGCACATGAAACAGCATCACTCCCGTGTGCTGGGCACCTCTGCCATCACTTTTAACACAGGCCAGCATGCCCAGGCCAGCAGCCTGTCCCCTCCTCCATGAGCAGCCACTCAAACACAGCCCATAAACAAAGAGCAGAACAGGCCAGGACCTTTCCCATCTTCCCTGCCTGCCCAGCACTGCTCCACAGCCAAAGTCTGGCTCTGGGGGCCTGGTGGGTTGCAGGTAAGGATGAAGTAGGGGAGCAGGTTCTGAATCCAGGGCTCTTCCTTGCCTGTGGCTCCCTCTCAGCCCAACCAAACACATTGGTCCACTTACTCATCCAGCCCTGGGAAGGCAAGGACAGTGAGAGGAGCCTTCTAGGTCTTGAGCCTTTGGTCTGTGTGGATCAAAGCAAACACACATATTGTGACTGCAGAGTGACCAAGCAAAGCACCCACTGGACAGTTTCTGGAAGAGCAGGGAGGGAGGGGCCCAATCTGTCCCATCAGCTCCTGGATTGGATGCTACAGGTGATTCACAGCTTGGACAGCAGCCCCAGCTGTGAACTGCACCTCACTCCACTGCACAGGGAGGGCAGAGCAGAGGAGAGCTCTCTGTGACTTCATTTGCCCCTGTGATCCACAGGTGCTCCCACCAGTCCACACTGAAGCCTCCCCCAAGCAAGGGGAGCACCAGAAAGTGGCAGGTGATGGTTGTGTAGGGGTTTGCAGGGCATTAACAGTGAGCAGCACAAAGTAGGCAAGCTTCGAAGGGAGTATTAAAGTAAACTCAGAGGTGACACGAGCCAAAGCAAGGTCAAGTTTGCTGCAGTCAAGTTTGCAGGTCTCATTTTGGCTCATTTGGGCCTTGCACCCTGGCCTGTGAGTGGGCAGAGGGACTGGTTTAGTTTGTGGACTCCTCTGGCTACTGGTAGGATCCATATCTTGGGATGGAGGAGGCTGCCCAGGAAGGACAAGGGAGTGGAAACCCCCTTGCAAAGGTTAGGGAACAGGTTTCATGCACTGGGTTCTCTGGTAGTGCTGATATATGAGGGAAGACTGAGAGAACTGGGATTGTTCAGACTGGAAAAGAGAAGGTTAGAAGTGACCTAATTGTGGCCTTCCAGGACTTGAAGGAGCTAAAAGAAAGATGGAGAGATACCACTTATGAGAGCATGGAGTGACAGGACACAGGGAATGGCTTCAAACTGACAGAGGGCAGGGTTAGATGAGATGTTAGGAAGAAATTCTTGGTTGTGAGGGTGGGCAGGCCCTGGCACAGGTTGCCCAGAGAAGCTGTGGCTGCCCCTGGATCCCTGCAAGTGTCCAAGGCCAGGCTGGAGCAACCTGGGCTAGTGGAAGGTGTCCCTGCCCATGGCAGGAAGTAGAACAAGATGATATTTAAGGTTCCTTCCAACCCAAACCATTCTGTGATTCAATGAGGAACTTGGACCTGCTTATGGCACTGCCCCAGGAAGGATCCCACCTGCATTGTGCTTTGTAAGGGTGAATGTGCTATCAGGTGCAATGGGAAAAGCCACAGACGTTGTGACAAACTCCCTGGCACGGTGACCAGTGACCCAGGCAGGAACACCATCTCAGGACCCTGCAGCAAACTGCAGCAGGGCTGAGCTGGGGGAATCAGCATTTTGGCTGAAGGACAAGCCAGTGAGAGCTCCTGGGCAGCTCCCCAAAGGGGAGGCCACCCCAGGACACCCAAGGAAGCCATAGCAGTTACAGGGCAGAAGGGCAGGCAGGGTGGGAGGGCTGAGAGGCCTTCACACCCAGGGAGGAGGAAAGCTCCTGTCCTACTGCCATGGGCATCAGCAGCTCTGGCTGTGCCACCTCAACACAGGTGGATGCTCAGAAGGGACAACAGGGGCACTGGGTGACATCAGGGTGCCCTGAGTCTTTTGCACAGGACCGTGTCCAGCTCATGGTGCCAATCCCAGAGTTACTGGCTGGGGCACTGGAGGGCAGGACTGAACGCCCTCTTGGCACTGAGAGCCTCTCACCTGCTGTCTCCACCTTCCCCTGCCATCTCTCCAGTGTCCTGCTGGCTTTTCCTTTCCTTCTGCATGTTGCCCTGCTCTGAATTTTGCTCCTGTTGTTCTCACCTCCTTCCTTTTTCTTGGGGCTGAGCACTGAATCCAGTCGTGGTGAGGTGGGAAAAGCAACTCATCTGCCTGTAGTTTCACACACCCAGTCTGCACTCTGGTGGTAACTCCACAGGGATCATCCCTTCACTCAGCAGGCTCCAGGAACTGCCCTGCACCTTTGCTTGGCTCTACCCAGAGCCACAGAGCACCTTGCAACACAACCAAGGCAAACTCAGCGAAACCCAAAGCAGAGATTCCCCACCAGGAGTCCTCAGGAATCGTCCCGGAGACACTCACAGGGTTGTACAAGGCTAAGGATGAGACAATCATCTGTGGGCACAGCACGTCTCGGGTGGTGGAGCACAATGTCCTCCAAACATGTGCTTTTTTTAACCCTGTGTCCAGGTGAAGGACTGTGCCGGTCTCTTGCCCACGGGCTCTGCTGCCGCTGCCGCACACGCCTTCCAAGCTGAGCTCGGGTGGGATGTGGAGTTTGTTGATGCCATGGAGGACGTGGTACCACTGATGTGGTCGCTCAAACTTGCACCAGCCCGCTCGGGAAGCCCCTCCGGTGGTGGTGCCGCGGTGGGAAGCATGGACAATGACGGGAGGTGGAATCTCTCGGAGGAGAGCAGATTGTGCACTCTGGCTGGAGACCTGCGAAGGAAACCATGAGTTGCAACCAAGGGATCTCCTTAGTGCCTGCCTTCTGCCATGGCCAGAGAGCCAACCCTGCCTTATAGAGCACCTAATGCCACTGAGAAGAACTGTTGGCTCTCAGGCCACTGGCCACAGGGGAAGTTTCCAGTGATATGGAGGATGAGATGCATCCTCCCACAGGAGGCTACAACCCACTGGACCTCCATTACCATCATCTTCCTCTCACACAGTCACCCGTGGGGTCAGTCAGGTGCTAGTGCTCAGCTCTGGCCCTCTGGGTGCAGCTCAGGCGTGGAGGAAGGTGGGAGCTCAGTGGGTGGATGGTTTCACCTCCTTGCCAGCTGCCCTGTGCTGAGCCGCAAGGTCTGCACTCAGGATTTGGGGTGCTGGAGCACAGGGTTTCACTTCATCTGCAGTAAAGCACATCCTTACAGACAGAACTTCACCTCAGCAGTGACTTGGTCGCCTGTGTCCTCAGCACACTCTGGCAGGAGTGAGCTCAGCTCACCAGGTCACCTTTGCTCCCCACCAAGCTGTTGAGGCCTTGCTTGGACTTGTCTGCACTCCACACACACCAATTTTGGCAGCACATGCTGTGCAGCAGAGTCACACACGGGCAGCAGGGCAGGGAGGCAGCTTGAGCCAGGCAGAGCTGGCCCACTGGGGATCCAACCTGGCCACTCCAGCCTCCTCCTGGGATGAGCTGGGAAGTCCATGCCAGGTTGCACTGACAAGAAGCACCTCTCTATGGGCCTGCCACCACATTTAGAATGAGTTATGACTTCAGCCTCTGGCAAATGGACAGGAGCTGCCTGGTTGCCCCTCACCAGCCAGAGGATAGTCCTGTGTCACGGACACAGCCTGGCCTTGGGTGATCCCTGTTTCCAAAACACTGGCACATCACCACTCAGTTGAGCCAGGAAGGCCCAGCACAAGGAAGCCCCTCTTGCCCAGCCCAGCCTCCCAGGCTGTGCACACTTGCCATGGTCATTCCCGTGCCCAGGAGCTGGCACTGGCTACATGATGGAGCAGGTGAAGCCGCAGCACTCCTTGAGCAGGGTGAGGCCGGTCTTGCTCATGTACGGTGCCGAGGTCTGCTGTCCCCTGGAAGTCATCTTCTTCTCTTTGACAGGAGCTGTGGAGAGAGGAATTGGGGTCTGCCTGGTGACCAGGGCACAGGTCCATGGCTGATTCTTAGAGCTCTGCCAGGGGCTCACTTGCTGACCATCCTCAGAGCCACAGCTGGGCACGAGCTCCTGCACCCAGGAAGACATGTTGCCATGTGTTCTTCCTGGGTGTCCACAGGGGTCCTGGGCTGGAAATGCCTCCCACTGCACTGGGAAGGTGATGGAGGCACAGGGAAGAGGGTGGCCTGCTGTCAGAGGCTGTGGTGTCCATCCAGGGTGTGACCTTAGGTAACAGTGGGATGGGATGGAAAGAGCTGGCTGGAAAGGGTCAGAGGAAGCCCCATTACCCATTCTCATAGGACATGGTGGCTGGGAAATGCCAGGAGGGAAGTGGAAGCACAACATCTGTACCACTTTGGGACGTTTCCATGATGTGATCTCGAGCACCAGCATCGCCCAGTTGCCATTTCCCCACACCCTCCTCCAGCAACAGATGGTCTCCAGGTAAGGCAGACCCAGGCAGAGCAATGAAATCTTGGGGACAGGGTGCTTAGGAAAGGGGAGAAACTGCCAGGGTGAACCTTCAGTCAAGGAATGAAACTCATGAACCACCTACTTGCTTTCTGGAGGTAGCTTTTGGAGAGCTTACTTTGCAGGAACTCTGCCATTTCCTTGTCTTCTTCCCTTTCCCTGTGACAAAGAACTTGGTTACCATCCAGGAAGGGAACAGGAGCACCTGAGAAGGCAGGATGCAGATCACAGGACAGACTGCACTGTCCTCAGTGCAAGGACTAAGCTGAGCTACCTGAGCCTCTCAAATTCCACGTCATCCACCAGGAAATCCCGTGTTTCCACCAGCTTGTGTATCTGTTGGACCAGATCTTCTTCCCTCTGCTTCTCCTCGTTGGACTTCTCGTTCTCTGCAGCACAGAGAACACGTTTAACACACCAACAGGGTCCATCCCACCCCTGCCAACTTGGGAACAGATATGACAGTGGGGACAAAAGCCAAGCCAAAGGAAGCAGCTGGATCCAGGCACAGGCTGCTAAATAAGAAACAACCTCATCCCAAACCACCCTGGCTGGAAGGAGAGACGTCTGATGTCATCAAACTTCGAAGTTTTAGCTTCTCCCCAAAATTTTCATGGGGCTGAGCACTGCAAGATGCATCTGTGAGCTCTGCAGAGCAAAGAAAGGGCCCCTCGGGGGGTGTTTAACCCCCATTTCCCAATCCAGCACGGCCAACCAGCCCCAGCTTGGCCCTGAGCTGGGTAGAGGTCCAGAGGTCTCAGAGTCAGGTCCTCTGTGTGGCTGAGAAACCAGCCAGGGGTTGAGGTGTGCAGGGAATTATCAGCAACAGGCAGATGCCCTGGGAACATCTCACACCTCCATTTATGTCACACACAGAGACGTGAAAAACAACCCACTGGGTTTGTGGCCTTATTCCCTTGCTGAACATGCTCCTGGTGATCTCATCCTCTACATCTGACCTTCCAAAATGCTGTCAGTGCCATTCCCACCCCAGCAATAAGGATGGCCCCAAGTTTCTGCCAGGCTATTTTCAATCCATCAGCTTTGGTTGTCACCTGAACCCCCCGACAGATCCACCTTGGGTGGGACCTACTTGTGCCACAGATCTTTGGGCAGAGAGTTAGTGAGGGCCTGGAAAACTCTCACATCACTGTGAAGTCCTGTCCTACATGAATTTACAGAATCACAGAATAGTTAGGGTTGGAAGGGACCTCATCTACTCCAATCCCTTATTTAGTTTATAGCTGCATTTTAAAACCCAGCACGTCGTTTCTGACTCATCAGAAACTGCAATTGCTGTAAGCACCCCCAGTGACCAGAATCACACATGACACGGACCTGGCCTTACTTTTTCACTTGCTATAGGAGAGATGGATTGAATGAACAAGTTTGGCTCCCTGTTGGTACACAGGGATCAGTGGGATGTGTGAGGATGGGAGCCATAGGGATAAGCAGTGGCAAATATCAATGGAGAGACCCCTAGCTGGGAACTCTCACTGTTTGTGCTGCAGCTGTTTAATATCAAGTTTGAATTCTGCAGCCCAGCCCAGAATGGATCAATCCCCAACCTTCCTTCAGCTAAATAAAAATACAGAGAAATTCACAGTATGGAGTGAGCCCTGCTGGCTGGGTCTCAGCAGTGACCTAAGCTGAGTATTGATCAGTGGTTTGAAGTCTGCTGTAGATCAGTGCAGGTGCTGCTGCAGGGCTCTGGGAAGGAGGAACCACTGAGAATCATCCTGTTAGAAACATCCCCAGCAAACAAAGGGTTTTCCTGCCACTGGGCTTGTGTGCAAGGAATGAGCTTCCTGGCAGAGAAAGCTGCTCTGGGCTGGGGGCTGAGCCACAACAGCTGGTCTTCCCCCAGAAAGAGTTAATGCACAGTCACCTGGCCCTGGGCACTGTCTCTGGGCAGCTCCCACCTGCCTGGTGGGAACGGGAACACTTCCAAGTGGATGCCAGACAAGGTGGGGCACGTCAGAGTCAACGTCCCACTGCGCAAACACTGCACCTTTTCTCCAGACCTGCTGATGTCAGAGCCCACCATGACCATGACGCTCTGAGTTATTGAAGGCACCTTGGGCTGGTGAGATCTCAAGCCCCAGGTCTGGCTGAGCTCTGAGTAAGCACTGACGTGTTCACATCCCTACCCAAACCGAGGACTGCTGTGACACTCTCTCCACAACAGTGATGAGCAGGATTTTTCCAGCACAGTCTGATCTGAGTCAAGTCAGAAAGAAGACAAAAAGAGCATCCCTGATGCAAGCAGAATTTCTGCTTTCAGCTGAATCTGGGAGTACTCAAAAGACAAGAAATGAAAGACCAAAGCAGATGAAGGAGAGCCAGACACATTTCTCCAGCATCAGAAAAGGCCAATTTATCTCTGGTCCTGAGCCATGGTTTAGGTAAAGTCTTAGTTTAGGTGTTTGAATTAAAAGCCCACATGAGATTTGGGTCTGTTTTGCAAGCAGCTCCCATTTTTATGGTAGGATGCTCCCCTTCCTGTCTGAATCTCCCTCTGGATGCAGGCAGGTTGTATTAAACTAATCAGGACCTGCATAATAAGCAGCATTTGGGCTCTAGCTACGTGCTGAAGGTTCACAAGCACACACAGCACAGCCCCACTGTGGCTTCAGACAGGGTCAGTATTTGCTGCCACTCTTGGCTCTGAGGTGACCTCGGGTGCTGATGAGCTGAGGTGGTGCTTGGGGAGACAGATGTGCACAGCTGGCCCCTTGCCTGCCCCCAGGCATCACCCCCTGCTGCACATTCACTGCTCTCAGCGAGTGCAGCATCTTCAGAGAGACACCTGTGCTGGGAACAGCTGAGGTCCAAGTCCTCGTGCTTGGGTGGGTACAAATAAGCAGGGATATGTCTCCCATCTGCCCCTGAAAGCAGTCCTTGCTGAGGGCTGAGTCAGGGTGTCCCAGGAGGAGGCAGAGCCTTATGGCAGAGCCCTTCCTGGCAGCTGCTGCCCTCTGCCCCACTACTGACACACGTTCTGACATGGCCACAGTAAGAATTCTTTCCTTTTCACATACTTAGGGCCTTTGAAGGTATCTCCCCTTTTTTATCCTCCAAAAAGGCCCCTCCATGGTGTGGTCAGACAATGGCCCCTGCTTGTCCTCTTGACTCATTTGGGATCCTCCCTGGTGCACTGTGTTGGGATTCACTGCCACCCCCCTCAGCTCCCCTTCTACTGTACGTCAAAGGAGTTACTATTTCTCTGCTTTTCAGTTTTCTCTGCCCTTTATCCCAAGCCTGGACAAGGACTCCCTGGAATTACTCCCAAGGAGAATCTCGGGAGAGACTCAGGGAGCCCCATTCGTGGATGCAGCAGAGTCTCTGGGAGCATCCTGGGCTGGGAGCTCCCAAAGAGCTTCCTGTATTTCGTGGAACCTTTCTGCTGACTGCAGCAGGGTGCAGTTCCCCGAGGCTCCACAAAGCCTTACCTGGCAGGGCAATGAGTTTTTGAAGCTCCTTTTTCAGCCGGCTGATTTCTTTACAAAGCTGAATGTCATCCATCCTGCAGGGACACAAGTGAAACCACTCAGGGGAGAAGACCGGGAGAGGAATGTTCCAAACCCCCAGAGCAACACCCAACCAGTGCTGGAAGGCAATGCACTCAGTGCCCGTGGTGGGGAGTGTGGATTTACCTGCCCTCCCATGGGAAGTGGGAGCCCACTTCATCCCAGAGCCACATGGGTTGGGTTGCTGGTTGTTGGCAAAGCATAAGTTTCACTGCCCTAATGACAATAAAGCCTTATTAAAACCTGGCACACCCACCAGGCAATAGCAACTGTGTCTCTCCTTCTTCCAAAAAAGTAATCCCCAAAAGGCAAAATCCAAAAAAGAAAGGGATGCCGTATAAGAGGATCTGACCTTTCTGTCCTGCCTTCCTGCAGAATTAAAAGAAGTCAGAAATACAACAGAGGGGGGAAATGTGCAAACTTCGCAGGTGTCTGCTAAGAAACAAAGAGAGAGAAGCAGGAGAAAAGGGGCCTGCTGAAACCAATGAAGGCAATGGAAACATCTCTGGCTCAAACCCCAAGACAGCAGCAAGGTGGTGCTCAGGGTGGGCCCAGCTCAAACATCAGCTGCTGGAGCCAACCAGGGCCACGTGGTCCTGTCTGAGCTGAGGCAGTTTGGACGTCTCAGGAGCACCACAGACACTCAGCCCCTTCCATGGGGACCAGCTTAAGTGCTTCTCGTGGCTTACGGAGGCTGGCAGAGGAACAAATTGATTTATTTTTAAAACTCTCTTGCCTGTGCCCTTGGTAAAGCCAAGCTCATCTGGGCAACCTGTGCCAGGGCCTCCCCCTCACAGGCAGGAATTCCTTCCTACCATTCCATCTAACCCTGCTCTCTGTCAGTCTGAAGCCATTCCTCCTTGTTCTGTCACTCCAGGCCCTTGGAAATCCTCTCTCTCCATCTTTCTTGTCAGCTCAGTTCAGGTCCTGGAGGGCCACAATGAGGTCACCCCAAAGCTTCTCCTCTCCAGGCTGAACAATCCCAACTTCCCCAGCCTTTCCTCCCAGCAGAGCTGCTCCATCCTCTGATCCTCTTGGTGCCTCCCCTGGACTCTCTGCAGCAGCTCCCTGTCCTTGCTGTGCTGTTCCCCCCAAAGCACGAGCTGTGTCTGCAGAGAACCCACGACTGACTCGTCACCTGGTGCCACCCTGCACGGCTGTGCCGCTGCTTCCTTTGGAAGTGGGAGTTCCTAAAAGCCTTGTCTGCACCCCCAAAAGTCCTGCTGGTCCTTGCACTGAGTCACGCCGTCCACCCCTCTGGGATGAGTCATGTTTACTGCAGCTGCCTGAAGATGCTGAGCTGAGGACACCGGGAATGTTAACAACGGAAGGGAAAATAAACAACCTCCCAAAGAGGAACCCTGTGAGATGTTGCTGTGGGAAGGGGATCAGCTCAGGTGGAGGAGAAAGCTTCCTTCTTGGCTCTGTCAGACTTTTGCTCCAGCTGACAGAGTTTTCCCTTGTCTGCATTCCACACTGAACAGGTCCAGCAATGCCAGTGCTTGGGAGCTGCACGTGGAGAGCAGGGAGGGCTGTTTGTCCTCTTCTTGGGTCCTGTGGTGGCTGAGCCCTGAGCTTGTACAGAGAGCACCAGCTCTCTGCACGGGACACAGGGACAACAGGCTGATTGCTGGTGATATGCTTATTGAAATGAAAAATTACAATGAAAATACGCGGTCAAATGAGAGATGAAATATTAACAAATTTAAATTGGAAATTAATTCCAGGAAAACTGATAGTGAGAATAATAAATGGGCGATAATAAAAATTCTCATTTCAGTAAAGCTTGGGAGGGATTGCAAGGAGAAGCACCCAGAAAGCTGCTGCTGGAGCTGGGATTGCTTCTACCAGTAGTTTTCAGCACCAGCCAGAGCCAGGGTGCCCCTGCCTGGCCCCAAGGAGCAGGTCAGAGCACTGAGGAGGGCAGGTGCAGAGCTGAATCTCCCACAGGCAATTCAGACCTTTCCTTTTGCCCTATGAAAGGAGAAATATTGGGAGCTTCCTTGTTCTTCCAGAGCACAGACACCTCAGAAATGTTGGAACATTTTAGTTTGACATTTCCAACCAGGAGAAAACACTGATTGCACTCGACTGACCTGTTTGGGAGCACACCCTGGGAAATGTCCCCCTCCCTGAGCCTTGCAGTCCAACCAGCCTGAATATCACACTTTTTCCCCACGGGGCCCAGTTCCCTATTCTTTTAAACCTTGTCCTGCAGAACCCAGAGGTCTGGGAGATTTCTCCAGCCCTCAGCCTTCCCTGCCCCACAGATCCACACACTCCTCCTCGCCCCTGCACCTCACAGAGCTGATGCTCGAGTTCCCACAGCACCCCCGGAACACCCAGACACGCAATCCTGGCACTTCCCAATCCCAAGGGATCCCTTTTGCAGCCGTGCCCACCCCAGCATGTGGTTTCTGCAGGTGATCTCCCTTTGTTTTCCAAGGGCAAGGCAAAGAACGAAACAAACAAAGGGATGAGAAAGAAGGAGATCTGTGAGCTTTGACAGCACTGGAGAGAATCAGGTACCGGTTGCCATGGAAAGCACTGAAGAACTACACTTTTTATGAACTCCAAAAATCCCTTTCAACAATGTGTTCAGGGGAGAACTGTGCCTCAAAGAGGCCACTGTTCCAAATCAGCCACAGTCCAGCTCACAGCTTCCCCACACACTGGATTTGCACAGGGATTTCCAGGCTTTGCTGATCCCTGCAGTGCAGGTACCACTGAGAAACCAGACACATCAAGAAACCCAGTATATCAAGTACTATAGCCCAGGAAATATGATCTTTGCCATTACCAGCAGAAAAAATCCAGGTTTCTATTGACCTGGCAGCATGGGATCTGAGGACTGGGCTGACTACAGCAATCCAGTGGTATTAAAAAGTTTAATCAACCCAAACTTGACGGTTTTGTTCAGTCCTTTTCCTCCCAAACCATAAAATCCCCTGCTATATCCAGGAAAAACGTTCTTTAACCCTCCTGCATCTTTATGTTGCAGCTGGTTTAGTGCTGCTGCAACACAGTGGCCACTTGATTGCCTTAAATCTGAAAGGCCTAGAGGCTTTCACCCAAAAACTGCTTTGATTATTGAAGTGAACCATGGAGAAAAATCCTCCCCTCCTCACTGGGCTGCAAAGGCTGTGCTGGGAGTGGAGATGCAGGATGCAGGGTGGAGATGCAGGATGCAGGAAGGAGATGCAGAGTGGAGATGCAGGATGCAGGGTGGAGATGCAGGATGCAGGGTGGAGATGCAGGATGCAGGGTGGAGATGCAGGATGCAGGGTGGCACCAGGCACTGATGCTGGTCCAATCCTGCTGTGTCCTGGTGACCCCAGGGGCCAGGGGATGGAGGAGGAAAGGAGAAGTTGGGAGGATGTGCAGTACTTCAGTCTGGGAGAACAAACTGTGTCCATGTGGCTGTTCAGCAGTGCAGATCTTCATGCTGGGGCAAAGCTACATCTCCAGAGAGCAGCAACAAACCACCAGCCTCAGGTCCCTTCCCAATCCCAGCCTCAGAGCCTCACACCAAGGAACAGTATGAACCCACTGGCAACACGGGGTGCTGCTGGTTGAGTATGGAAACATTTGTGTAGTTAAATCCACGTGATAAACTCTGTTTGCACAGAATTTGGCCGGCTCAGACCTTCACAGCATCAGTGGTAGCTTCATAACCCATTAAAACCCCTTCTGAGGGCGAGGCCAGAGCAGTGGGAGAGGCTGCACTTCCCGGTGGAAAACAAGGTGGGAAGCAGCCTCAGCTCTGTTTGAGTGGGCAGGAGAAGGTGCTGGGATGCCCCTGGGAATGGGGCACAGCGCAGGGCAGGGCAGGTACTCACATGTAGCGCAGCTCCGACTCCCTCCTCACCAGGATCTCCCTGATCCTCTCGATTTTGAAGAGCTCTCCCTCGATGTCATCGATGGTGGTGGTGGAGTCAGCCATGGAAACGATCTCATCCTCTGCCAGTGAGAGAGGAGCCGTGTCAGTCAGCAGGAGATGTCAGGTGGGTGCTGAGGCCAACACAGGCTCTTAGAGCCTCACAAACCATCACCTGCTCCGTGCTGGCCTCGCACACCCTGCCCACACCAGTGCTGTGCCGGGCTCTGTGCTGCTGAGAAAGCCCCAGATTTCCAGAGTCTCCCCCTCTCTGGACAGCAGGAGGCCAAGGGAGCTAAAAACTGCTGGAGGGAAAGACAGGAATGCCTCTTTTTCCAGAACCACGTGAGCTTCAGCCACCTCAGCACACAGACATGAACCTGTCCGTGCACCCTTCTCCAACACATGCCAGGAACAAATTCTGGACTCACACAGCACAGAGCTAAGGAATCATGGACATCAAAGTCCTTCAGCTGCTCCCCTTCCCTCACAGGCTGGTTGAAGTCCCCCCATGTTTCCCAGTTTACCAGGAGAAGAGCCCTCATGGTACACAGCAGGACCACGTGGGGAAACTGAGGCAGGGAAAGAGGATGTCCCTTGCTGAGGGCAAGAGGCAAGAATTCACAGTAAAATGCAGAAAAAAAGGGGCTGTGATTTGTATTTTAGAAGGATGGGCAGGATGAAAGCACAGCAACCCCCACCCATGGCTCTGACCACCAGCTCTGCCTCTCCCTGCCAATGACTTACACCCCCATGTCCCACTGTTTGCAGGCTGTGCCCTGTGCACACATGGATGCTGTGTGATTCCACACAGTGCCTGTGCACCCCACAGGGACTCCCAGATCGTTTTATGGGAATATCTCCCAGGCCAGCTGCCACCTCCCAGCCTGGTCTGGCTCTCAGAGTTTGTTATCAGTGACAGGCAGCAGCACACTCATCACACGCAGATTAATCCAGCTCTCCTGGGATGTGGTACAGCCAAGCTAGGCTGTGAGAAAACATCCAAAATAATACATGAGCCCTTCTTTGAATCTTCACAGGGCACATTTTGCCTTCCTGCTGCCCTGGACTTTCCCCATGCAGGGAAGGGGGAAAGCACAGCCATGAAGCACCAGCTCTGGGAACAGGATTTTACAGGTAGGTGATGTTCAGGAACTGGAGTTGTCACAGTGTGTGGCCTGGGCATTCCAAACAGGACCCAGGCCAGTGCTAAGGGTTATAGGGTAGCCAGACACCAGCACTAAGGCACAAGAGCAAACACTTGAGTCACTGGTCCTCTACCCATCATATAAAATTACTTGGGAAATCACTCCCAAAGCCAGGCATATTTCCAAGGCTGCTAGCAAGGAAGGTTTATCTGGGAAATATGACTGGTTTGGGTCAGTGTGACTGGTTTGGAGAATAATTTTCTCCTGTTTCTGGCTTAGAAACTCATGAGGATTTTTTGGAGATTATGTCCCTCTTCCCCTAGACACAAAGGTCACGTTCAGCTTATGCCAGTGTGGGAATCCTCCATCACTCCCTGTTCTAAACCATCAGGATGCTCTCAGGAGCCAGCACTTGCTCAGGACAAAAGGATGAATCTCTGGGCTGGACAGAGTGTGTGATTGGCTGCCCTGCTCTCTATCAGCTCTTGCTCAAAGGCTCTGCTACAAATGAGCACAACCCCCCTCCCTTTGCCTTGTTTCCACGGGCCTGATGTGGGTTGCTAAGGGACCGGCCTGTGGTTGCTGCAGGAGCAGGATGCGGTTGCTAGGGGACCAGAGTGCGGTTGCTAGGGGACCAGGATGCAGAGGTCCCTCGTCCCAAGCATCCCAATGCTCTGCCACCCCAGAGCTCCTCTCCCTGGGATGTTTGGCTGCACCTGCCCCCAGCACTGCTGAGCAGCTGGGGCCGGGGGAGGGGGACAGGTGAGAGATGCTGGCAGGTGACACAGGTGAAGGTGCAGATGGCACAGCTGCCGTGTTCCTGTAGGCAGCCACTCCCCGGGCTTGTCCTTCAGCCCAGCTCCAGACCTGCCACGGAGAAGCTGCATTTCCCTGTGTCACTTCTGTGAGCAGGCTGAGATGACAGGGCTGCTGGTTGCACAGATGTGCCAGTAAACACAGACATGAGCTCACTGCAGCCTCCATTAGCCAAGGACAAAGCCAACCAGCCCCAGGAGCACGGGGGTGGCTCTGAGGGAGGGGGGGCTGTCACTTCTGCCCTGCCTGGGTGGGTGAATAACCCAGAACATCTTTGATCACTGCTGGCAGAATCACTGGGCTGAGATTATCTGCCAGTTGTTCCCCAGGGAGTGAGTGAGGGCTTGAAACAGCTGTCAGCATCTCTTCTTCTCCATTCTCATCCCAGAATCTCATTAGTAGAACCATCCCAGACCGGGAGAGGTGAATCCTCACCTGTGTTTGTGAAGGGAGGAGATGGCAGTGCTGGGATGGCAGGAGGTGGCAGTGCTGGGATGGGGGAGATGGCAGTGCTGGGATGGGGGAGATGGCAGTGCTGGGATGGCAGGAGGTGGCAGTGCTGGGATGGCAGGAGGTGGCAGTGCTGGGTTGCTTCCCCCTGTCCATAGCAGGAGGCTGGGATGTAATTCCAGTCCATAGGCACTGCCCACAACATCAAGAAAGCTCCTGACTCTGCTCTGGGTGGGTTTCCTATCAGTGGCTGGGACCACCCTGATCTCACACACTTCCCCAAAGTCCCCTTTCTGTTGGACACTTCCCAGCAGCCTCCTGTTGCAGGTCAGGAGTGTCCTGTGAAATGGGTGCAGTGGGCAGGGCTGCTCAGCACAGCAGAGCAGGGGCTGCAGGACTCGAACTGGAAGCTCTCAGCCCTCATCTGTGCCTTCAGGTGCTGTGGTTGGGTCCTGGCACTCTGCATCTCTCAGGCATTCCAGGGAACTGCTCACCAAAGCTGTAAGTCTTGGATGAGAAGTCCTGGGACTACTGTCGTGTGCCTGGAACTGCTTAATCCAGGACAGAAGCAGAAGGAGGGCAGTGCCAGGAGAATGTTCCTGCAAAATGAAGCCCACAAATCTTGGGAGGGAGCACCTGGACAAGGGGACACAGAGCTACACCTTTGCGTCAAAACCATCCCCCAAAACCATCCAGGAGAAACCAGTAAATCCATACAGGTGACCGACAGGCAGCTGACAGGATGGGAAGATAAATTTGTTGGTGGAGGTTCCTTCCACGTGCACAGGACCAGAGGTCATCATGCCAAGATCTGAACATCTGAGTGAGGGTAGGGGATGGAGCACAGAACAGAGAGGGAGAGGCTGAGAGTAGAAGGTTGAGGGCTGTTCAGACACTGGAACAGGGATCAGAGAGGTTGTGGCATCTCCATCTCTGGTCCAAGACAACTCCTGGACAAGGCTATGAGCAACCTGATCTACCAAGTCTGCTTTGAGCAACAGATTGAACTCTGTATCTCCAGAGGTCTCTTCCAATCCAATTTCCTCTGTGATTCCATGTAATGACAACTGATTTTTGATGGACATGATTGGAATGTGCATGAATCTTCCCTGCTGGCTCAGGAGACGTTTTCTCCAGGCAGATGAGGGGTGATGCTGAGTTCCTGAACCCCAGCACTGCAGGCTAGAAGGTCACAGCTGTTCTTACAAAGGGCCCTGTGTCCTCACAGGCCTGTGCAATGGCAGCAACACACCCAGCAGTTGCAAAGGTACAGACCCTGGGAGCTCCTGTGGGATTAAATTCCAGACAGCTGGTGAAAAGTCTCACTGGAGATGGTTTTGCCAAAGCTGAGAAGGGGTTTCTTACACCAGGTTTCTCCTGTCCAAGGCAGGATGCTTATTAAAGCTGTGATCAAGCTCACAGCCCGAGTCTCCCTTTGGGAATGACACCCATGTGTGGCCACGCTGCCCAGGGCTCCCTTTGGTCCCACAGCTGCACACACAGTAGCACAGCCACACACAGAAATCAACCCCACGCTGCTGAAAGACTCCCCAGCTGGCACCATTTCAACCTGGCAAAGCAAGGAGGGGGAAAAAGCTTTGATTGAAACTCGGAGATGATGCTCTAATCATCACACATGGCCAGAGGTGGCAGGGGGGGCTCCATTAATGAGCAGTGTAATAGCCAGAGACTTCCACCCCATATGGCTTTGGTGGAAACATTTAGACAGGCAGCAGCAAACCTGAGATGAGTCACAGCAACAACCAGCTCAGGGCTGAGTTTCAAGCAACTTGCTTCATGATTGAAGTTGGACAATCGATTGGCAGCCCCCGTGGAGGAGTCAGAGCTCTTCCCGGGGGCTCCATCCCCAGAACTCTGTCACTCAGCCCTGCCATTTGCTCTGCTGCAGAAAGCAGCACGGCCAGGGGGCACTCAGCCTCTCAGAATCAGCCCTTACCCCACAAACCTGACAATGAGAGTTTTATGACCCAGTGGTAGCCTTTTCAGTGGGGGTGCTCTGCCCACCACCACCACACTGCCTGCCAGGATGGACACCAGCCCCCAGGTCTGCCAGTGGACGGCCAAGCTCACCAGTCCCTGAGGACAAGAGCATGCTGAGACAGGAGAGGTCACAGCTTCTGGCAGCCTGCAAACCATGGCACTGCTCCCCTGCCAGCATTCCCTCTAGAAAAGCAGGGAGAAACGTGCTGCCCTGGCCCACTGCAGCCAGGGGGGGTTACCTGGCTGTGTTTGTGCAGCCCAGCCAGCACCAGTGGGGCCACGTTAGACATAAAAAGGAGCAGAGTTCACAGGTGAGGTGCCTTGGGAGGACTTATGGGAGTATCACCAAGGTGTATTCCCTGTGTAACACTCCACTGCTGTGTGTACCTCCCCAGGGTCACCTCCCGAGCACGGGCAGGGCAAGGGGCTGCTCAACACTTCACAGGCTTGGCAAACAGCAGGGCAGCATTCAAAAAGCAGACACTGCCATGTTCTCACCCATCACAAGGGTCCCAGGGAGCTGGGAGTTCACAGAACTGCACTGAACCAGCAAACACTGCAGCCATCACAGCCCTGCTCACAGGCACCCGAGGAGGAGTGGGGGGGGGGGGCCAGGCCATACCCAGCACCCTGAGTGCAGCACCACCAGTCCCTGGACCACCACCTCTGATCCTGGGAGCAGAGGATCCAGGTGATGGAAGTGCTCCTACCCCCCAAGAATCTCTTTTTGCAATAGACACTTCCCAGACTGTGAAGGTTTTGGGAGGATACTGTGCTGGAAGGCACAAAGAGAAAGGACTAAAACTTCAAACAAACCACCGAGATGCTGAGCAGCTTTACAGGCACCACACACACACCCCTGTCAAGCAGTACCAAGCAGGAGTTTGCTCCATCCCTCCTCCCCTGCCTCTCCAGCTGCCTCTCCCCGACCCTTTGGGTACACGGGGCTAAGGTGTAGAAGAAAGGAATAGGTAAGGGGAGAGGTCGCAGAGACGTCACAGCAGAGGGACTGCAGGCGCATCTCCTCCTCACAGCTCAGCACTTCGACCCTTCCTTCCACCGCAAGGTCGGGGGCTCCGCACAGGGCAATCCCCTTGGTTGGCATCCCACCCTCTTCTCACCCCGTGTCGTACTGGAGGAACCGGTCAGAGAGGAGGAAAGGCGGTGAAGGACAGGGCGAGCATCCCAGTCTGCCGGTCACAGCCATTCCCAGCACAGCGGCTCCGTGTCCGCCCGGGCAGCAGCAGTGGGATGGCGGGATGCGACCCTCCTCCTGCCCCGGTGCGTGCCCTGCAGCCACCCCTCCTTCCACCTAACCCCTTCTCTCCGTCCTTTCTCTCCCCTAGCCACCCCTTCCCTCCCTCGATTCCCGCTTCCGTCCATCTCTCCCATCCATCCATCCATCCATCCATTCATCCATGCATCCAGTCCATCCCTCCCTCCCTTCCCTCCATCCTTCTCCTCCTGCTCTACTCCCGAGGTGCCGGGAGCGCTCCGGGAACACCCTCGGGGCTTCTTTCGGTGGGCGAAGCCGCCGGTTCCCCGCCAGCTCCAGGGCTCGGATGCCGGGATAGTCCCGGAGCCACCGGAGGCGGTGAAGGGGGTGAAGTTCGGCTCTGGCCGTGCCCTGACCGTCCCGGTCCCGCCGCGCTCACCTGGCCCCGCGGGCGGCCACCGGGTGGACTCCATGGATCCGTACCGGGGAGGGGTCCGGCTCCCCTCCATCCGCAGCCCAGCCCGCTGTGCCTCCTTCTGGGCGGGGGCTCCGGCCGCTCCCACCGCTCCGCTCCCGTCGCTCCGCTCCTGCTGCTCCCAGCGCTCTGCCTGGGCGGGGGCTCCCGCCGATCCCTCCACTCCGCTCCCCCCGATCCCACCGCTCCGCTCCCCCCGATCCTTCCACTCCGCTCCCGCCGATCCCACCGCTCCGCTCCCCCCGATCCTTCCACTCCGCTCCCGCCGATCCCACCGCTCCGCTCCCCCCGATCCCTCCGCTCCGCTCCGCTCCCCCGGGGCGGGGGCTCCGCTCTCTGCCGGCAGCCCCCGCGCCCCCGCCCGCTTCTCGCAGCCTCACCTGGGAGATTCCCCCAGGGGGCTCATCCTCACCCCGAACCCAGACCCACCCAAAACCCGCAGCAGGAGCAGCACGGGCGGTACCAGCGGCCCCGCGGGTGGGGTCCCGGGGGGCGGCCGGGGGCACGCGCCTCGCCCCGGGCACTGACGGTGATCAGGCTCTGCAGAGCAGGGTGGGACGCGGGTGCTGAGGGCGAGGCACGGCACCGATCAGCCCCCCCAAAGCTACTGCGAGGCACTGAAGTAATTAATTTTCCCTATGGAAAAGCCCAACAGCAAGTGTTTGAAGAACATGTTGGTCTGGAATCCAAAGGCTGGCTGGGAGCACTTTGACAGCACCCACCTCAGCAAGGGTGTTGGTGATCTTCTCTCTCCAGCCGGGGTCTCCCGTGTGACACAGCCATTCCCAGTCCCACTGTCCTGAAGGCTTGTCCTGCAAACTGGTGCAGAGAAGGTGGGGATGGGGAGTGGATTGTAAACCCCCTTGCTCGCGGGGTTTTATGATCAGCAGAAGTGCTTACTGTGCTGAGGATTCACACCCAAGGATACAAACCTCACCACCACTTTCCCCAAAACACACAGATAGGACACGTTTCCCTGCTAGGATGTGCCTGTAGGTGACATTGATGTCCCCATGGTGCAGGAGCAGAGATCTTGCATGGCTTGGTCAAGAGCACGGATGCAAGGCAAGGGACACCCCACCCTGGGGAGGGGACTCAGGGTCAGTTTGGGAAGTGCCACACAGAGTCACCAGGCTGGAGAGCAGCAGTGGCAGCAGCAGTGGAGAGGTGAGGGCCAGGGGAGCAGCTGTGGAGTTCTGTCCTCTCCCTCTGTGTCCTGCTCAGTTGGCAGCCAAACTGCTGCAAGTCCATAGTTAATGCAATAAAATAAACCATGGGTGAGCAAAACAGGCACAGCAACACAAGGGAGGAGGCTGGGGGAGCAGCTCCTGCACAGAACACCAGCAGCATCCTCACCTCCAGCTGCTCCCTCCCCACTGAAACAGGCTGCTGAGCTCACCCGTAGGAAATGTCCCTATGGAATGGGCGTAAATCCAAGTAAAATATTGGAATTCCCATCTCCAAAAGCCAGACAAGCAGCTCCTGACTTTTGATCCAGTTCAGTGACTTAAACCAGAACGTGTACAAGGGAGATGGTGCCTCATTCTTTGAGGATTACTGTGGCATACAAACAGACCAAGAATTAACTCTGTGTGTAAAAACAGGGGGGAAAAAACTGGGTATGGGAGCTGCTGCTCTGAGTTACAAATGCAGCAGCAACCAGTGAACTGTGGGCACCCACGGGATCACCTTGCTCCAGAAATCCTCTGAAAACACAGGATTACCTCTTGGACAGGAACAGCACAAAGCCATGAAGCCACCAAGGTGGGCTGTGACAGACCCCAGAGGTGAAATGGTGATCCTTGAAAAACAGAGTTTTGGTATTCAAACGAATTGTTCTGGAATGCCCTGAGTTTGCAAGGCAGCTGCACTGGGATTTCAACCCCCAGGCTCCCAGTTGGACAGGAGAGGCCAGCTGAGGGACACAGCCACTCTGGGATTGATTGGTTTGGTTGTTTTAATGTGAAGTGTAAGGATAGTCATGAAGTGGCTGTTCCTCAGCTCATTAAGTGATGAGCATCCACCATCACTAGAACTACGAACTCGGGTCTGAAGTGACTCACCTTGTTTTGGTTGCTCCCCAGCGCACAGAAAATGAACCTGTGAATATTTTAATCAGTTCTTCAGCTGAATATTCTGCAGGATGACTTTCACCATGAGCAGCCAGATCTGCCGTGGGCTGCAGCTTGAACTGAACACATTCAAAACGCTCACTTACGTTCTTAATAAAAGCATGGGAATAAATCAAACGCTCCAGAGTCACACACAGAGTTATGATCCAATTAACACATGCCATTTGTTCTGCTGCATGGAGTGGAATCATGATGTGCAGATCCATTTTGTGACACTCTTGGGCCCTTTGCTGCCCACTCAGGTGCATCTTGGTGACTGATTCCCTGAGAAAGTACTGTGGTCCCAAGGACCTGAATGTCTTTTCCTATGGAGGGATGTACAAGTCAGAATTACTAGTTCAGACTATTCACTAAGTTCATTTTCCCTTAACATTTGGCAAAAAATTGGGTTTGTGTTTCTTAATTCATGCTTTGAATTAAAGTTATTTCAGCATGCGATTATGTTTCCTGGCTAAAAAGCCTTTTTACTAACAACAAAACCCTGACAAAAGCCTTCTGATTTCAGTGTTGTAACTACCCCCAATGGTCTGACCTTCTAACCTGATGGGAGGCAGAAATGTTCTCAGATTTTCAAAACCAAAGTCGTGTTACCAACAACTTCCCTGTCTGCTGTAGTGGGAGGGTCATGATAAGATAACTGAATTCTCTGTTCCTTAATTTCCTCAGGCAAGACTTCTCAATATACCAAAGGTGAGGCAAAGGTTAATTATAAAGGTGTCTCATACTCACTTCCACATTTGGGGTGGTCTCAACTGAAAGTAAAAAATGCCCTTGGCCAGAAAAGTTATTTATATGGCATTAAAACCAGGGAAAAAACACACAGAGCAAAATTTATCTGTTCCCTGAGAAATGTACAGTGTAAATTAGCAGATTCCCTTACACTGGCTCCCTCCTGATAAACAGAATCATAGAATCAGAGAATGGTTTGGGTTGGAAGGTTTCCTAAAGTTCATCCCATTCTGCCCCCTGCCATGGGCAGGGACACCTTCCACCAGCCCAGGTTGCTCCAAGCCCCGTCCAACCTGGCCTTGGACACTTCCAAGGTATGGGGCAGCCACAGCTTCTCTGGGCAACCTGTGCCAGGGCCTGCCCACCCTCAAAGGGAAGGATTTCTTCCCAATATCCCATCTAACCCTGCTCTCTGTCAGTGTGAGCCATTTCCCCTTATCCTGTCACTCCAGGCCTTTGGAAACAGTCTCTCTCCATCTTTCTTGTAGCTCCTTCAGGTCCTGGAAGGCCACAATTAGGTCACCCTGAAGCTTCTCTTCTCGAGGCTGAACAACTCCAACTCTCTCCCCTTTCCTCCCAGCAGAGCTGCTCCATCCTCTGATCCTCTTGGTGCCTCCTCTGGACTCTCTCCAGTAGCTCCCTGTCCTCCCTGTGCTGGGACCCCAACCCTCAAAAACATCACTCTCCTCTTCTTTTGAGACTCCAGCTAAATAGATTTACTTTACATGGACCATATCTACAATTTTGAGAAACAATTCCTTACAAAGACACAAACCCCGCTCTGTGAACACATCTGGGCAGGTTTCACTACAGTCCACAAAGAACCACCCTGTGGCTGCTGGCTGAATCACAGAAATCTTTGGAGAGCCCTGGAAAGGATCTTACCATGCTGATCAGATCCATAAGTAAATGAACATTTATAGAGTGTTCCCTAATTTCCTATTCTGGGAGTACCACACTATTTCAGTCAAACACAGATGTGAGGTGCACACAGAGGAGCTGAAGGAAACATTTGTAATATTCCATCAAAAAATAAAGACAGAATCTGCAATTTTAGTTCCCTTATAACTTGGGGACAAGTTGTTACAAAGCAGGATAAAGATGCAAGGGGTTTCTCAGCTCCTGTGTCAGTTGTATCCTGAAACCACTCACACGGTACCTAAGCTGTTTCAAGAAGTCTTTGTTATTTTTTGGGAGATGTTGTCTCATCTAATAAAACTGATTTTCTCGGCTCCTCTGAATCCTCTCACAGAGGACACATACACTGAGCTACGTCAAACTTAAAATCTAAGGGCTACAAAGACCATCATTGTGTGGGACTTGTTCCTCAAACTAACTCCTCTTTGCTCCCTGAGCTGTTACATCCAATTTTGTTCAGAGAAGGACACAGCTCCACTTAGACCCTGGACAGCAAGGGGGGGAAAATCAGTATTTCTACATATAAACCTTTAAAATTTGCTCAAAGCAGGCAAAGAGTAAAATCTTACATGATCTCATAATCACTTTTATCTTTACAACTCCTGCTTAAGAATAACAACTGAAAGAAACAGAAGTTTTTACATCAATTTTTTTGCAAATAGTTGCAACATAATGTAAAAATAATCTCTGATGTGGCTGGAAACACATCAAGAGAAGATGTTTTCCCTAAAGGCAGTTTGGTTCTTCTCCATTAAAATTTTACTCCCAACAACATTTAATGCCTTGGCACATTTTTACTTCTGCAAGAACAATAAAGCCACACTCAGAGCTCACACAGAATAATTTAAATCCACCTCCTTCCTTACTCTTCTGGCTTGGAGGGTCTGTGGCTATCAGAGAGGAAGAAACTGAGTCCCCAGTGTTGCAGAGCTCACACACAGAACTGGTATAAACCTCAGTGGAAAATGATTTAAGCAAACTGGTGGTTAAAGCAATTTCTTCAGTGAATGAGCCTCTGCCACATTCATTCCGCGGTGGTTTGTAATTCAGAACTCATTTCAAACTGCATCAATATGATTCTCCCCTGAATCAGCACCAAATGTGTTTACTGGATTGACAATTTAAAAAAAAGAATCTTATTATCCGGTCTTATTACACTGGAGTTCAGCTTTGGACCATACCTTAAATCCTGCCTGTTCACAGCAGCAGTGCTTGAGCCCTCCTACCCAAAAATGAGGTAAAATCCCAGGGGAGTCACCCCAGGCTCTGCCAGGCAGCCACCACCCCTCTCCACA